GGCGGCAGCCGCTCCCAACCCTTTCGCTGGCTTCGATGCGAGCGCGTTTTCGGGCTCTGGCTCTGGCTCCGGCTCGGGGCCGACGATGGCGGCATCGCCAGCGGCGGCGCCTGTGGAGGCGTTGGGCAGCATCTCGCTGGAGGATGGGGCCAACAGCAGCGACAGCATAGAGATCACTGGCAGCAGCAGTGACAACGACGCCGCAGCCGCCGTGGCCGCCGGGGTCTACCCCTACGGCACCGGCCGGAGCAGCGGCAGCGGTGGCGGCGGCGGCGGCAGCGGAGGGCCCGCGGTCGGCGCAGCGGCGGCGGGCTTTGGCAGCGATCTGAACGCCGGCCGGCCCGAGTGCCGCGCGCTGTCGGTCGCGGCGCGCGGCGGGGCGGAGCGGGAAATGTGCGCGCACGTGCGGCTGGCGCCGCTGCGGCCGAAGGACGCCGCGCCGCTCAAGGTGGCGGTGTCGCTGGGCGGCAGCCTGTTTGCGGCGCCGGCGGGGGATTTTGGGCAGCTGCTGCAGTGGGGCATGGGGGAGGGCCTGGCGGGCGGCGGAACGCTGCCGGCGGGCGGCCACAGGTGAGCCTCGCGAATTCAGTGGAGCGGGTGCCGTGCTGCATGGGATGGATCAGTCAAAGCGCCGTGTGCTGTGGAGCCTGCTGTGCGTGGTTCCAAAGCCTGATTCGGAGGTTTGGGGGAAATGCACGTTTTCACTTGGGCGTGGTGAGAAGCCAGCGCCTGAGGCGGAGCCCGTCACCCGTAGCTGTCGGGGGAGGGGGGAACTTCCTCTTTATCCAGCTCCTAATCGACGGCCGAGCACGCGCTTGCAAGTGCTGACGCCCTCATATTTCGGCCCCTGTGTGCGCCTCACCGCCAAAACAGGGCCGAGCTGGAGGACTGGGACTCTGCGCCCTGCGCGGAGCTGCGGCCGCGCGCGTCCCCGCTCGACCCGCCGCCGGAGGCTTCCAGGAGCGCCGTCACATGCCTGGCCGCCCACCCGCCCTCGGGGCGCCTGTGGGCTGGAACCAGCGACGGGCGCGTGCACTGCTGGGAGGCGGCGCCGGGCGCGGCAGCGCGGTGGCTGCACTCGTGGGCGGCGCACTCGGGCAAGGTGAAGGCGATTGCGGTATCCCCTTGGGGCCGCGTCTTTACAGGTGAGCCCTGGGTCCACGGCGCTCGCCTGTGTGCGAGCGTGGGCGCGGGGCGCGCGGGGTTGCCGTGGGCTTGAGCAGTGCGGCAGCAGCAGACTACCCTGGAACCACGCACACTCGTGTGGCCTTCCAAGCTTCTGAATTTTGTTTGTGACAGCAGTTTGTGAAGCGTTCCTTTAGCCTCCCACCGCCCTCTTGTTGTGCCCCTGTTTCTGCTTCGGCGTGGGCTGACCGGTAATAGCAAACTCCCCTTCCCAGGGGCTGCGGCGGGCGCCATCCGGCTGTGGAGCTACGAGCCGTGCTCCAGCCCCGTCCAGCCGCCGCGGCAGATCCGCAATCTGCGGAAGCTTCAAGGCGGCGTGCCACATGGCAAGGTGCGCTGAAGGCCAGGCTGCCCGAGGCGGGCGGGTGGAGAGCCGCCGGGTGCACCAAGGGGCCTCCGCCACGGCACCTAGGCTCGGCTGTTCGTTTCTGCCGGGACAAGAATGGGCGGGATCAAGGCGGCCCCTGCCAACCTGTGACGACGTGCGCCGCGGCCGCGCTCCTCGCGCTGCTGCCCCAGGTGTGCCGGCTGGCGGTCAGCTGCGGGGGCCGCGTGATGTGGAGCTGTGGCCGGGAGACGCTCACCCTCTGGAGCGCGTATAGTGAGCCTTCGCTTTCTGCCTTCTTACGCACGTGTGGTGTGTGTGTGTGTGTGTAACCGAGTGCGTGTGATTGTGTGTGTGTGTGTGTGTGTGTGTGTGTGTGTGTGTGTGTGTGTGGATCTTCTTGGCGCATTCAAAGACGCCTGACGTTGGGCTTGCTCCCCCTCGGCCTATATGCCTACGTCGCTCTTTGGGATGCTGACTGTGGTGCCCAAACGGCACAGACCAGACTCTGCCTGGGCAGCAAGGGATGCAGCGGTGAGTTGCACAACCCAAACCGGTCGCCCCGCTCTGCGTTATCGCGGGCATGCAACGACGCCAAAACATCTGACTCCAAACCGCAGACGGCCAGCACCTGGGGACCATCAACCCCGAGGGCCCGGAGAGTGTCGACGCATATGGCGGCGGCGGCGCAGCTCCGTTTGACCCGTCGGCGGTCAACCCGCGCTGCGGCCTTGACGTGCGGACGCTGCTTCGGGCGCGTGAGGCGGCGTTTGTGCCGGATGAGGGGGAGGGGGAGGAGGCGGAAGACGCTGCAACGGAGGCGCTCAAGTCGGTGGCCAAAGGGGCTATCAAGGTGGGCCCCTGCTTGCGCCTGGGGACGACAAAATGACAAACCTGTAGGCGACAATTCGCCGGATCCTGCAGGAGCAAATGGATTCCTTGGGCAAGGGGCTTTTGATTACGGGCTGAAGCTGTAATCTGCGAACCGCCAGCGGTCAGGGTGGGGTGGTGGGGCCTCTTGGTGGTGTGCATCTGCCGCCAACCAGGGGTGTTTAGGTGGCCCCGACGGCGTGCGATGGCCTTGCGAGTCGCCTGCGGCCCTGCCGCTTGGGCCCGTGTGGCGTCTGCCCACGTCAACGCCTAAAGGGAACCTGTTGCATAAGGCGGTGTCCGTTTCGACCGTTGGACTTCACACACTGTTCACCATGCATGCATCTATCATCAAGTGCCCGTTTGCGTGATACCACCATGGTCACAGCAACAATACACCATGCAGCACCTTTATGATTCAACATATCGCATCCACCAAACCACCAACCCCCAGGCCGGCAAGCTCCTGGGGAAGCTAGGCAAGAAGCTGGAGGCGGCAGTCAACAGCGCCGCCGCAGCCGCAACCGCGGCCAGCGCCGGCCACCCTGCCGGCGGCAGCCCCCGCTCGGCCGCCTCCGCGGGCTACCCCGGCGGTGGCTTTGGCGGCGGCAGCACGGGCTCGACGCGCGGCAGGGGCGCAGACGCCGCGGACGCGGGCGCGGGCGGCAAGGCGGTGCGGTGGGGGGCGATCAAGGCGCTCGAGCCGGCGGCGGATGGCTGCGTCTGGGTGGGCTACAACAAGGGGCTTTTGGAAAAGTACTCTGAGACTGGGCAGCTTCTCTGGAGCTCCGGCGCGTTTGCTCCAGGCATCACGTCCCTCGCATCCGTCGGGGCCTCGATCTGGGTCGGCGGCCTTGACGGCCGCGCGTGGGCGCTCGACGGCGGCAGCTGCGCGGCGCTGCGCGCGTGGCGCGCGCACTCGTTCCCGCTGTCCGCCATCGCCGGCGGCGCGGGGCCGGCGGTGTGCACCCTCGCCCGCGACGGCGCGATAAAGGCCTGGCCGTCAGAGGAGCCGCCGCCGGCCGAGGTCGCGGCCTGGGCGGCCGCGGCGGCGAGCGGCGAGTGCCTGCAGCAGCAGCGGCTGCGGGTGTTCGCCGGGACGTGGAACGTTAACGAGGGGCGGCCGAGCAGGGCGGGGCTGATAGAGTGGCTGGGCGAGCGGTCCAAGGCGGCGCAGCTGGTGGTGGTCGGGCTGCAGGTGGGGGTCGTGTGTCGTTGAGGGAGTGCGTGCACATGTGTGTTCGTGTGCGTGAGTTTACGGTGCAAAAGTGTGAGCGGGGCTTGCACTGTGCATGAGGGTGTGTGTGTGTGTGTGTGTGTGCGTGTGTTTGTGAGTGAGTGTGTTTGTGTGTGTGTGTGTGTGTGTGTGTGTGTGTCGTCCAATACATGTTTGCATGTGAGTATGTATGTACAGGTCAGTGAGCTTGTGTGCGCAGGCCCTGGCGAGAGCTCAAAAGTATGTGATCTTGCACGATTGCCGTTCTTAGTGGTGTCCAGATGGAAAGCAAAGGCAGAGATTGGTCATGGGCGCACGGCCTGCAGGGGTCGAGGCTCACTCGCCCAGTTCCACGTCTGTCGGGGCCGTCGTTTGCTGCAACACCGCACTAAACCTGTGTACCCCACACCGTCCTGGGACCCCCACAGCCTCATCTGAACGCAACTCAACCCTCGCACTCGTGCCCCACTTCAACCTTTTAAACAGGAGATGGAGATGGGCACCAGCAGCGTTGCAATGGACCGCATCTATTCAAATCTGGCTAAGGGGCGCCTCGAGGCCGGCAACAACAAGGCGCAGCTGTGGGCGGGCGAGGTGGCGGAATGCCTTGCAGGCGGCGCGGCCGCGTGGGCGCGGGTCGGGCTGCGGCAGATGAGCGGCATCCTCATCGTCGCGTTTGTCAGGTGGGCGCCGCGTGCCGGCGCGGGCGTGGCGCGCGCTGGCCATTTGCCCTGATTGGCGCGTGTTGATGCACTGGATGCATTGGAACAGTTCGGAGTTGCAGCAGGCAACCTTGACGACAAAATGTGTTTCTTTTGTGTGTGCTACCATGCCGACTAGAACGCTTGGGTGGCGGCAGCATCCGGACGACTGCAAAGCCTCTGCGCCCTGGTTTGACCAGGGGCTCAACTTACCCTTGGAGCACAGGGACGGCTCCGCCCAACACGCCCGCACACGCGTCGCCAGGGCGGCAGCTCGTTTGACTGCCGCACCCCCCCCCCCCTCGCCTTCCATCTCGCGATGGCCGGCCCCAGGTCTGAGCTGCGGCGCCACGTGGGGGAGGTCGCGACTGCATCAGTGGCGTGCGGCGTGATGGGCGTCGGGGGCAACAAGGGGGCGGTGGCCATAAGCTTCAGCCTCATGCGGCGGCGGGTCATGGTGGTGACGTCACACTTTGCAGCGCACCAGGTGGGGTGGAAATGGGCTGAGCTGGGTCGGGTTTTGATTTCTTTGATGCATCAGCTGTTTTTCCCTTGGTCTACCAGCCCTTGAGTATCATTGACTGCGGCAAACGCCAGCTGATGCCGATTGCCCCGCGGCCGTGAGAACAAAAGCTTGTACAGTTGCAGCGCGTGGTGCAGTCACATCGCAACCCGCACGCTCTGCCTCCGCCTGTCTGCGCCACCGGCTTTCTGTGCGCAGTCGTCCGGCCCGTTTATTGACCAGTCAGCATCTCCTTTCAGCGCGAAGCGTCAGCTCCCTGACCTGCCTCACAAACGCACAATGGACCCACCCATTGCTCCAGGCATATGCCAATTGATACTGCAACAACCGCGGCAATCAACCCATCCACAGGACAAGGTGCAGTCCCGCAACGCCGATTACGCTAAGATCGTCCGCGGCCTGCGCTTCCACAACACACCCATCTCCGCGCACGCGGCCGGCGGCGACGACGGCGGCGGCGGCGGCGGCGATCCAGGTGGGTCGCACGCACGCGCACCGAAAAGTGGTGCCTTGTCGGCCGCGGCGGCGTGCGAGGCGGGCTGTATAGTGATGGCACCAGGCCGCTGTGGCGCTGTGATGGACTTTTCGTCCTGTCTGACTGAGTCATCCTGTGCCGCTCCCATTGCGCAGACGGCAGCGGCAGTGGCGGCGACGAGTCCTGGGGCTCTGGCATGCGGGACGCAGACCTGCTGATCTGGGTGAGTGGCCGCAGGGGCTGCTGCTTGTGCTCATGGGCTCACTCACGGCATGGGGCGGGAGGGGGAGGGATGGGATGGCTTGCGGCCTCCGCCAACGGTGTGTGTGTGTGTGTGTGTGTGTGTGTGTGTGTGTGTTTGCATGCGTCCTCATTTGTCCAAAGAAGGCAGCGGCCGAGGCACTGAGAGGTCCCTGGGCGACTCTGCCCGCAGCCACAGCTACGGCTTGCCCCCGCCCATTGTCAATGTCCCAGCCAGCATTCTTTCGTCTCTCTCACCTTTTCAAGACTGCTGTAAACACCATACACACTGACCCACATACACAAACATGCATCCACACGCACGGTTGCGCGCACATGCACGCTCCTCACAACCCACGCACGCGCATGCACCCGCACCCCACCCCTCCGCCGCAGGTGGGCGACTTCAACTATCGGGTGGACGGCGCCCCGGACTTCGCGCCCCAGCCGGAGACGCCTGAGCACAGCCGCAACGACCAGCTGTACCACTTCGTTCACGGCAAGGTGTGGCGTCGACGCCCGCGGGCGGGGCGCTGCACGCGTGAAAGGGGTCTTTCTTGACAAGATTTTTGTTGAGAAGCAAAATCTTGTTGTTCCCAGGCGGAGGGGCAGTCCGCTGGCCGACGGTCTGTAGGGCCTGTGGCAACATATGCAGCCCATGCTAACGCAGCAGGTCGTCCCCACCTACAACCTGCCGCGTGACACGCCCTTGGATCCCACGACACCAGTCTTCACACACCCTGCTGTCTCGTCAGTGGACCTCCTCAGATCCTGCACCACCTTGCCCCCCAATGAAAACTCCACCCCCACACTCTTCTGTGTGTTGGTGCGCCCCCGCATAGATCTCTCGGCGGCACCACCTGGAGTTATTGGAGGGCGACCAGCTCCTGCGGCAGGCGCGGCTGGGGGCGGTGTTTGTGGGCCTGGCCGAGGGCCCCATTACCTTCATGCCCACCTACAAGTTTGAGAAGGGTGAGAGGGGTCGGTCGGTGTGTGCGGTGAAGGGTCCGGCCGGATCTTGCCGCTTCGAAAAAAAGTGGGGGGGGTCGCAGTCGGGTTTTGTGGCAGGCGGTGCGTTTCCGCAGTGTTTGGGCCGCCAGGCGCCTTATCCCCACCCACGGCGGTTGCGGTCCGTTGTCATGTGAGGCAAAGAATTGCCTGCCAGCTGCCACACCTCTACACAGGCCACAGATCCTCAATCCGCCCATCCAACAATCACCCAAACCAGGCCGGGAGTCGAGCGAGCGCCAGCCGTTCTACGATCAGGGGGAGAAGAAGCGCGTGCCCGCCTGGACGGACCGCATACTCTTCAGGGGCGGCGCCGCGCAGGCCAGCCCGCTGCTGATGCCCACAGCGGCGGAGCCAGAAGAAGTGCGGGTGAGGGCGCCTGGGGTCGGGGCGGCCCTGCATCATAATTCTGGCGCCCAACTGATGACGCAGAAATAGTGACCTTTCTGATCCTTTCTGTTGGTGTTCACCAGCGCTGCGACTCCTGCAATCGTGGCCTGCGGGACAGAGCGCGTGGTTGTTCGTATGAGGCTGGTCTGACCCGTCCCAACCGCTGTCCCCGTCCGCCGCCGCCCGGGCAGGCGGCGCTGGCTGAGCAGTCGGCGGGCAGCTACGGGTCCTGCATGGAGGTCAACGACTCGGACCACAAGCCGGTGTACTGCCTGCTGGACGTGGCGCTGCCCGCATTTGAGCAGGTGTGTGTGTGTGGGGGGGGGTAAGTAGACAGCGATCGAGGAAAGCGTAAGTGTCGGCTGCACTGACAGATTGTGATCCACAGGTGACACAGAACCTGGTTGACACAACTTGTGGGGCCGCGACCATCTTCACATCGTGGCGGTGTGAAATAAGTGTCAGGGCGCCCTGCGCTCAACAATTGGCAGCCACATTTACGCGTGGCCCCCTTCCGCCATGCCCCACCATTCTGCGGCGATCGCCGCTGCAGGAGGCGTCGCGCCGCACAAGCCTGCGCGCTATCGCGGCCGCCGCCTCGGCGCGCGGCGACGACCGGACGCTGCTGCAGCTGCAGCCGCAGGCGGTACGCCTGGACGCGGGCGGTGGCCACACGGGCGCTGTCCGCCTGCACAACCCGGGCCCCAGCCCAGCTGCCTTCACCCTCATCGGCCCGCCGCCGTTTGGCGGGTTGCCGCCTTGGCTGGACGCGACCCCTGCGACGGGCGTGGTGCCTGCAGGGGGGACAGTCGAGGTGCTCCTGCAGGGCTGCCCGTTCCTGCCGCAGTGGGGGCTGGTCGGCCCGCAGGCCGTGCAGCTGTCGGTGGCGGCGTGCGCGCAGGGCGGCGCGGGCGCGGCGGCGTGGCCGGTGGGCGGCGCGATGGCAGGGTTCACTGCCTCGCAGCTGACGGTGCGTCTGCAGTAAGCAAGATGCTCAGGCACAGCGGCGCGCCTTGTGCACTGCTGGTGCTCTGCTGGCCCGCACGCCTCCCTGCCGCTCCCGTTTTTGTTTCCCGCCCCCTGCTATGGGCGGCGCCCCACCCGTTAACATGGGGCGCGTCTGAGGATTGTTTCAACATCCTCTGGCCTGTAATGTGGGAGCAGATGCCTGACGCGGCCTGTTCAATTGTGAGCGTCGAGGCCACTCGCAGTTTGTGCTGGTGCTCAGATCGTCACAGCAGGGCCCACCGCAGTGGCTCAGTTGTGTGGCTGGCTGTGCCTCGTATTTGATAGATCGTTGTCATTCTAATTGTGACAGCCTCTGCAGGCGACGGCGCAAGGTATGCACCCTGCACAGTCAGGGCTGCTCGCAGCCGCCGGCGCAGGCCGGGTCAGGTCCATCCAACCCAAGAAGCTGCGGGGCTCTCAACCACCGTGTCCCGCACACGCGATGCCTCTGAAGATCCAACACAATAATTTCTTCAACAACAACACCGAATATCTTCATTCTCCGAGGTCGGCCGAGACGGGAGTGCCGCGCAACTGCGCACGACTGGTTGAGGAGCTGCTCCGGCATTCAAACCACGCATATCGATTCTTACGTGGTTTAGCTTTGCTTGAACTTGTAGCTCGACCAGAGTCGACGACTCTGTGCCCTTCACAGCTGCAGAGCGGTTGTCGACCCAGTCTTCTCTGAATAGGGGATCCCCACAACTGGCAGCCTTTTAAAGAGAACACTAGAGGCTAGGTTATCTAACATGCCCGGCGACGGGCGCCGGGTGGCTCCGATGGGGCCGTCTGGGGCCCATCTCCTGGTGGCAGTCGTGATACTGGTGGCGTACGCCTCTACAGCAAGAGCGCAGTGCGTCCCAGGTACTTGGATAGCATCAATTGCGATTGGCTGGCTGCAACGTGTTGAGGCACTGTGGGGGAGCGAATAGCTTTCGCGAAGCCCCGCTGGCTTGAGAAGCCCACAGCAGGGGCTCATGCGCGCCGTATTCGTAATAGGAAGTCATGCGGGGAGTGTTTGTGGCTGTCCCAGCCGTTTCCACGCCGCAGGCGCCACCCCTCCACCGACCGCCGCGCCGCGCCCCGCCCGCGCGCAGTGATGGGCGAGTTTGTGCTCACAGGCCTCAGCCGCCCCGACGGCAACCGCGTGAATCACGAGGCCGGCGTGTGCCTTCCCCAGTTCACCATCAACGTCACGTCGAACTGCCAGCTGACGCTGCGGCCAAAGTACTCGCTGTCGTCGTACATTTCGCTGCTGCAGGCCGGCCGCGACGGCACGGGCCAGCCCAACATCCCGCTGGCCAGCGACAGCGCGGCGCTGGTGGCGGACGCCATAAACAATAGAGCGGGGTACTACTACCTGAACCCCATCCACTGCCCCCAGTCTTACGGCATGAAGATCAAGGGCTCGCGGCTGCTGTCGTCAGGTGCGACCTGACCGGCCTGGGCGCGAGCAAGCACGCAGCTCAGCGCAGCGGTCCAGGGTGGATGGTGCGCGTGGAGAGCCTCTGGTGTGGCGCCCGGGATGCTGTTGAAGGTGGAGGAGCATGGCACCAGTGGCCGTGGGCAACCACGAAAATGGCATGCAGGTCTGCAACCAGGGGTGCAGTCCACCGATCCGTGCCCGGCTGCGGGCGCCGGCCCAACGGGCAGCAGAACGCCTTCCGCGCCGTCCCTATCATGCGCTGAATTGGAATGATGGCCTGCCTCGTCACGTTTACGGTGTTCAGACGTGGCGACGCTCCTCAAGCGCGGGCTGGAGGTGGATGACGATGTCCTGCCAAACGTGGCCTTCACCCCCAACGGCCTCACAATATCTTGGCGGACGGCGGGGCCCGTGGCACAGGAGCTGTCCTACACGGTGGGGGGCGGGGCCGAGGACGTGTGGGGTGGGGACGGGCGGCAGTGGAATGGCAGTGGTTGGCGTGAAAAACGAGGCTGGGGTGGCGCGGACAAGTGCTGTGGTGGTTCGAGGT